TTGACGGTGAAGATGATGATGAGGGCTTAGAATATTAGACTTGGCTCCACTGACTTCACCAATCGTGACTCGCAGGCAATGGGAAATTAGACTATCTGTTAGAAAAGTTTAGGGACTATATTAGTACTAGACATTGTAGTTCTAATAATTTTAGCAATGATGCACTTATTCAGTCTGGTAGTATGTTACTCTAAGTTTATATGTTCAAGTTAGTGTTGGGACATTGGAGTTTTAGTAATTTTAGCAATTGTAAACTAATTTAGTCAGAGGTACTCTCGTTTCAAGTTTATACATGTAATCAGGTTAGTTTTGTTGCACACCTAAAGGGACACATCTAAAAAGAGAACTTGCACAAAAAGTTCCAGGCATTTACTTCAATCTTTGGCTGATAGGAAATTGGCAAAGATTTTTCAGTGCTTTTTAGCTAGCCGGGGGATAATAACTAGCCAATTACACTTTTTTTTTTTTCATCTTTTACCTCAGCTGTTTTGTGACAAGCACTATCCCACAGAGTTCTGTATTTATTCGACTAAATGAGATACAAGAAATATGTTTTTAGATACATTGTGCATCTTAAAAGTGCATGGAAGTACCTAAACGGTTCATTGCTTCAAAAAGTTCAAGTTGCATTTAGTTGTTTTTACCAGAATAACTCTTAAACTTTAATGTAGTACAATCGAACTCTAATAGTAAGTTAACTTATTGTTAAGTTAAACCATGTCAAAACCATATATTCTAAGTAATTGATAATTATTTAAATTTTGAACCAAGTATATAATGTAAAACCCATAAATAAGACTGAAAACCAACTCCCCTTAGACAAATTTTCTCAATTTTTTTTTGTTTGATAAAGAACCATAGATTTTATTATCAACTAATGTCCACATTAAGAGGGAAAATGACAAAGTCTGGGGGAGTAGAATCCCACCTAGAAGCATTAGCTTATATGTTTTGCATGACAAGCCAACAGCTATATGCATAACATTGTTAAGTTCTTGGGATCCAGTTGGCTTCCCAAGTTCTTGGGATCATCTAAAAACTGGACCAATCATCCTCCAATGAAATAATGCTCTCAATGATTGCTTGAGAATCATCCTTGAGGATAATATCCGTAGCTTGAAGCTGAAGTAGAGCATGAAATGCAGTTTTAGCAGCTAAAGCTCCAGTAGCCTTTACTGATAGAACACCATCAACTTGGTTTGTCAGTCTAGCTATGAAATTATGAGAATTAATTATCTCTAATAACTACTCCAATGCCACAGCAGCCTTCATTTTGAAAAACTCCTCCATCAAAGTTGGCCTTTAAAAAACCTTGCTGCTGTTTCATCCAAGATGTAGGGGCCGAAGTAGGTATATGAGAGCCATGTAGCGAACTCTGAACGGCTTCTTGGTAATCTTTCCAAAAACTAGTTGCAAAAGAGACTAGTGAAAGTTGATCTTTAGAAGTCCCTTCAAATATTTTCCCATTCCTGTTATTCCATAAACTCCACAAAATAGTAGCAACAAGTCCCATGTCTGACGCATGCAGGAAAAGGAGAAGGGAAGGAAATCAAGTTGAAAAAACTTGGGGCCTATCTAGATGTAGCTTGCTGTAAAGATAACACAGAGCCCAAACCTGCACTGCCAGAGGGCAATAAAGAAAGATCTGATTCAAGCTATGCTTGTCAGCCAAGCATAAAGAGAATGTGTTGAAGGTTCATAACCTTCACCTTTACCTTTATACATTAGCATAAATGTTCATTACCTTCGCAACCTTCCCATAAGCATAAAGGTTCATAACCTTCACCTTTGTACATCAACAGGAAAGTATTCTTGAGCTTATTAGTCATTACTGCTGTGTATTCGTATTACAACTACCTATTCTCAACTTATGCGGGTTAATTTCACTTTGCGCCCTTCAATTATACCTAAATTTTCACTTTAGTCCTTGGACTTAAAAATGAGACACTATAGTACCTAAGTTATAAAAATTTTCCCACTTAAGTAATATCGTTAAGAAAATGAGATAGATTTTATGCCTAAGTGGATGTACTGTTGGGACTAAATTGGGAAAAAATTTATATTTTAGGGACTAAAATGGATAAGTTCTATATTTTAGGATAATTTAGAAATTAAAATGCCTCATTTTAAAGTTTAGGGATCAAAATTAGAACTCAGGATATAGTTAAAGGATGCAAAGTGGATCTAACCCCAACTTATGCTGGATGATAGGAGATTCAGATACAACGTATGCCAAATTAAACATAAAAAATCACAATAAAAGTTGTTTGTTTGGTCATAACGTATAACTTAGAGATGTTAACTTTTTTCTCATTTCAAAATTTCAAAAAGTTGTGCAGTATCAGTAACAAAAGAGAAACTGCAAACATGACCAGCCAACCAATTATAAATGTATGAGTTTGTTTTAACTCGTTCGTTTGTGTATTAGTTCCATTTTGCACCTTTCTCAATTCCTACTTTGATCCTTGAACTGTGAATCGGGATATTTAGTTCCACTCATCCTGCTTAAGTACAATTGTTAACAAAATCTCCAAAACTAACGTTAGTCACAAGAGCAGTATGGTTGCACCTTGTAAGGGCACAGAAGGAAAATCCAATCAAACAATAAAAAAAAATCTCAAAATAAAGATGGAGTTTAGGGACCAATTAGTGGAAATCAAAGTATAATTTATGGATTAAATTATCTAAATTTAGAGTTTAGAGATTGAAGTGAGAATCAGAATATGGTTTAGGGACTAAAATGTTCCAATTTATACTGGAAGGCTGCAAAATGGAATTAACCCGCCATTTGTTGTTAAAACCAGCTTTGAGTGTTTAGGAAGTGCTAAACTCAATTTTAGTGTACTTTTAACCTCCCTTTAATAACATGAGAATAAGAAAATCATTTTAATTGAAGGACTTTTTTTAATCAATGCTCATTAGGTATTTGTTAACATATCTATTTTAATCTGATCATTTGAGTGCGGCCACACTACATATTTCATACATCATTCATTAGTGTTTGTATAATCTCTCTATTTAATCTTAATTTTTTTAAACAAAAAACTAACAATTGACACCCCTCTATAAAACAATGCTTTTTAGATAATAGATAGGGTTAATTCCATTTTGTCTCCCCAACTTTGGAAGATTACCTACTTCAGTCCCTAAACTTCAAAATGGAACACTTAAGTCCCTAAACCTATAAATATCTCCCACTTAAGTCCCTAAACTTATAAAATGGGACACTTAAATCCCTAAACCCTTATAAAATGGGACACTTCGACCACCAACGGCATTCAGGATTTGTTAACAATTTTCCTTAAGTGGGAGGTATTTATAAGTTTAGGGATTTAAGTGTCTAATTTTGAAGTTTAGGGACTGAAATGGGTAATCGTCCAAAGTTTGGGGGGACAAAGTGGTATTAACCCTAATAGATAACAGACCTTTGATCTGAGTTTTATTTTTTTAAAAACTTCGGTCTAACTAATTTAATTAGCACGCAAATACGACATTAAGTAAATAGGTTTATAATGGATGATTATTATATCATTGAACAGTGATTATTCATTATAAAACTCTTAGGCTCAGTTAAAATTGTCGAACAGCATGTCTCATAAATATATAGGTCACGTTATATTTTCTTGTTAATTTTTATAAATAACATCCTACTTTCTTTATAAACTTAATTTCTTACAAATCCAAGGGCATTACAAAAGAAACTCTTAACACTAAGTCTTTTTCTCATTACATGCCAAATATTTCCAACAACCAAAAATAGCCATCTTGGTAGGATTATAAAATCCTGTTCTTTCCAGCAAGGACCAAGGAGGTCTGATCATTTAATCAGAAACAAATAACTGTGTCATCAGCAACCAAGGGACGTCTGATTTTCTTGTCAGAAGTGAGTTCATGACAGCATGTTCAATTGAGCTATGTGAACTGATCCTTTCTGATTTGTTCTTCATGCATACACGTTTCTGTGTTTTTTTTTTCGGTACTAACACTCGTAAGGTAATGATGATGTAGAGCACCGATTGTGGGGCATTTGAGTGATGACAAAAATATGTCATTTTCCTGCGAGAAAGATGTTGAGAGGAAGAGATCACCTTCGAGTTCCATTGTAGACGCCAAAAACATGATATGAGCATTATGTTGTTCAACATGAGAACTCAAATGCTAGTTTTCCTCCTTTTTTTTTCTTTTTTTTTTAAACTACATTAAAGATATAGTTAGTTAGATCCTTTCGGCAGCACGTAGGCTATCACAAATTGCATTGTTTATGTTAGGAAATTGGCTTAATTTCTTTTAGGTAGATTTCTTGTTTTGTGTGGAAGTAACTAGCTTCCTAATTGATTTTAGTTAGTTGAAGTGGTAGCCAAGAAATATTCTATTTAGTTTAGAATTAGAAGTTATTTTTTATTTTGTACAAGTCTAGGAATTAGAATTGGTTTCCTATTATTGTTTGGATTTTGTCCAAATAATGTTCTTTATAAAGAAATGGATTGGCATACTACACAGGAGATACAGAAGGGCATACAAGGATAACATGTAGCCTTATACATGGGTGGTGAGAGAGGGTTCTTGGGAGATGAGAGATGGAATATAAGGGTTGGATTTGGATGCAAGTTATATTCTTGTATAGAGTTTTCCTCTCATAATAAAGAACATGTTTCTCTCCGTGGACGTAGGCTCAATGGTGGAGTCGAACCATATTAAATATTGTGTGTCGTCTATTTTTCATGCTTATGGCTTATTTATCATTAAATTGTCGTATATTTGATATCTCAATAGTTGTTTGTTCCGCACTTGGATCCTAACAAGTGGTATCAGGGTTTGGTTGCGAAACTGGGCTGTTTACAAGCACTTGAATCCCAACAAACTAAATGATTGGATCAAGAGTGTGGTTGTTCAAGGTTGGGCCCTGGTTAAATATTGAGATCAAGTAGATTAGCGGCTGTTACTAATTGAACAATTTAATGAGTGATATCCTTGTTTCAATTGCTTAGTAAGAAGCATTGATGGTGAAGGATGGGAAGATGAAAAGTATAGAAATACTTGACGGTGAATCTAGGCAGGTGATTCAAGAGTCAAGAAAAAGGTGGAGTTCAATATTGATTTTGAAAGTGAATCGGTGGAGATTTTCTCTCACCTCCAACGGTTGATATTTCATTCCGGTGGCTTTTAGATTTCAGTTATGCTTTTTGGGTGGTATGACACGTGTCCTAAAGAAATAAAGAGATCTAATTTTCATGCACCAAAAGGTTCTGACAATTACAAGTTTTTTATTTTAGATGGAATCTTGGAAACCACACATGGCGAGACAGTCCTGAGAATGGGAAGAAGTATGGTGATTTTACCACTTAGTTGCCTCAATGGTTAGGGTTAGAGCTCACAGAAGGGGATCTCGAGTTGCAAGTGGTGGTGAAAAGAAATCCTGCAAATGGGGATGGTGAATTGAGGCACCTTCTCACGAGTCAACTAGAGGTTGGATTCGGGGTAACTATACATGTTCATTTGTCGATTGAATCAATTTGGTGTCAGGACTGTATTGATTCGAGTGTGTAGTTCAGTACCATATTATTTGATAGTTGAAAACAAATGGTAGCTAAAAGAAATTTTCGCCAAGGTGGATATTTGTTAGAAAATTGACTTAATTTCTTTTAAGTAGATTTTTTGTTTTGTGTGGAAGTAACTAGTTTCCTAATTGGTTTTAGTTACTTGAAATAGTAGCCAAGGAATAATTAATTTAGTGTAGAATTAGAAGTTATTTCTTATTTTGTACAAGTCTAGGAATTAGAATTGGTTTTTGATTGTTATTTGGGTTTTGGCCAAATAATGTTTCTTATAAATAGATGGGTTGATATACTACACAAGAGACACACAAGGACACACAAGGGTAAAATGTAGTCTTATACATGGGTGGTGAAAGAGGGTTCTTAGGAGATAAGAGATATTATACAAGGATTGGGTTTGGGTTCAAGTTGTATTCTTGTATAAGGTTTTCTTCTCATAATAAAGAACGAATTTCTCTTCGTGGACGTATATTTAATGGTGGAGTCGAACCACGTTAAATATCATGTGTCGTCTATCTTTCATTTTTGTGACTTATTATAATTAAATTATCGTATATTTGATATCTTAATAGTTGTTTGTTCTGCGCTTGGACCCTAACAGTTTATATGATAAGAACTTCTTTTTCTTCACATTCTTCTATTATCTGCTATTAAGGAACACGATAAGAAGTAAGCTTAATCTTACTTCGCTTGCAAACCTTTAACTTTTTTATGCTAAAGTACACACTTTAGATACACTTTAAAGTGTATCTAATTCAGTTGTTTAACGTTATACTTACATAAGCGTTTTTTTGTTGGATAATGTATGATTTTGAATTCTAAATTATATTTGTAATCTTTATAAGATTTTGAATATAATGATAAATTAGTTAAATTTTATTTTTAATTTTTTAAGGAATAAAAGTTATCCCAAAATTACTAATTTTGAATTTGTGCTAAAAGTGATTTGAAACCAAAATCTCTAATCCTAAATTATTCCAAAAACTCTTTTCTGGTACATATACATTTATATATGTGCATGTCACTAAATTAATTACTGATACTCTTTGTCATGTAAGGATACCAGCAAAATCAGTACACTGAACGTTCAAAATAGGCAGGATATCCAATTCCAAAACCAAACTTTGAAACACACGATATATACCAATTCAGAAAGATCTTCAATTCTTATTTAATTTTTTTTCCTTTTGAAGTCTTGAGCATATATCCTTGAATATTGATGCATCAATCATTAATGTACGAGAGAGTTCTAATCCTACAATAGTTTCCCAGATATCAAAGCACTAATATATCAGATTCCATGTATGTCAGTGGAAGTAAATATGCTCTTTGTTGTGCATTAGGATGCATTCCAAACATTCATAATCGCCTTTCCAAGAATCATCCTTCCAAGCCCGAATGAAGCACTGAAAAAACCCATGTTGCGTGACTTAATTTTTTTTTTTAAATTATTGTCTTTCCGTCAGAATAAGGAAATAATTTTATACTTTTTGATTTCGTAATTTATCTAAATGACAAACCTGTCACAGTATATAATTTAAGCCATAGATTTTGATGCCAACTAAAAAAACTCGTACGAGAATCTCATGTTTGTCAATTACTTTATTCAACAAACTTAGGTAGACTATGTTTGGAAAACAACAGATGGATATGGCCACTTTCTTTTCTTTCAAATAGATGAGATTGAAAAAGGGGTGATAGCTATCACTACAAGAAAATTGGTCATCAGTGACAACTTTTCTCTGTGACGAAAAAAAGTTGTCACAAAAGTTGATCCTTTATTGACGACTTTCTAGCTCGTCACAAACCTCTAATGGGAGCCAACTCATTTGTGACGACTTAGAAAAGTCGTCACTAGTAAATTCCGGCCAAGATTTAGCAAGAGCGCGGGAGTGTTTAGAACACACAATAGTGACGACATTAAGAACATCATCACTATTGTTTGGCCTATTTACGGACGACTTTTTGTTGTCGTCACTGATCACTAAAAAAAAAAGGTTATTAGTGACAACATTTTGTAGTGATGACAATAGGTCGTCACAAAAGGAGCTTCTTTAATCGCGACACCTAAAGTTGTCACAATTGCATCAAAGCAACTAAATGTTTAGTGACGACCCGTTATTTTCGTCACAAACTACACTACAAGAAATATGGTCATTAGTGACAACATTTTCTAGTGACTACAAAAGTCGTCACAAAACGTGGTTGTTTAGTGACGACAAGGAAAGTTGTCATAATTGTTCAAAGCAACTAAGTCTTCAGTGACGACCTTGAAAATGTTGTCACTAAAATGCTCTATATAGTGACAACTTCTAATATCGTCACTGTCACTCTACCGATTCGGATTTAGTGCAAGAATTGATCGTCACTGTTTAAAGTACTTATTTCTAAGTCACTTTCATTAATTCTACTGTGCCACCCTAACTTTTGCGATTTAACCCCAAATGTTGTAAAAAATTTCATTATTATACCTTAACTTTTACAATTGAACCCCATATATAGTACACCGATTTCTTTAATTCTATTATTGCTCCCTAACATTTGTAATTTAGCCCCATATGTAATTCACCAATTTCATTAATTCTACTATGGCACTCTAACTTTTGCAATTTAACCCCCATATGTAATACACCAATTTTATTATTTCTATTATGGCACCCTAACTTTTACAATTTAGCCCCTATTTTTTTATTAGGAAATTGCGAATGGTATCTTGATAAACTATGCATAAATATTTTATAATTTTCTCAAACTTAAGTAATAATTTGTTATAAACTCTAAAGATATATCTTTCATTACAATAGTTATAAGGCAGACAGGTCTTTTTATCAATGGAATAAGAAATTTATGCCAGATTTATCCTTTGTACTACATGCCAAGTAGTATTAGCAAAGGAATAACAAAGTACTACAAAGTAATTAACAAAATAGCCTTCAGGGAGTGTAATTTATGGGCAAATGAGCATTATCTATTCAAAGTACCAACTTTTTATGGGCATTTTACTCTCAAACATATAATTTATGATAAATTTATAAATGTTTGTAAGTAAAATTCAAAAAGTGTTACACTGATTTCTTACAAAACGAAAACTGGCAGGTTATCTTTTCAACATAAATTAAATTTTTTTAAAAAAAGAAATGGCCCATAAAGTACCAACTCTTTGTGGGTTTCCTCCATTATATGAACAAATATTCTGGTCTTTATGGGCATTTCACTGCGAATCATTTAATTTATGTTAAATACATAAATGTTTGTAAGTAAAATTCAAAAAGTGTTGCACTAATATTTTTATGGAAGGGAAACTGGTAGGTTTTGTATTTAACATAAATTAAATATGTGAAAGCAAAAAAAAAAAAAGAAATTACCCATAAATTTGTGTCTTGCAAATGTATACTAGTAAAATAGTTTCAAACAAAATTAAACATTAAAATAAACTGTAATTTATACACATTAAAATATTTGTAATTTATACACATTTTGCAACTACTACTTTGTGTTTTCTCTGTAATGAATTTTTTAACTATTGAGAACTTAAGTTTTGTCTTGCAAATCTATACTAGTACAATAGTTTTAAACAAAATTAAACATTAAAATAAATGTTTCAAAAAGAACAAAAGTACATTTATCACTCGCGGTAATGTAACAAATTTTTCTCAACCATTATCAATATTTTCACAAAAGTATTAAAAACTAGCAATTGACAATATTAAAAACTAGCAATTTAATTAGTGACGACTTTTCTTGTCATTATAATCTTGAATAAATTAGTGATAACATTATGTCATCACTAAATTTTCTTTGATTTTGACTTAACAATAATGTCTTATTAATAGCATTTGATTATTTTTAATGAAAGTCTGTTATAACCATAGAATTTAACTTTCGTTATTTTCAATTAATGATGTACTTTAGTGCTGCAATTATAAAAAATTGCAGGGCTAAAATATTTACAAATTATAAAAGTATATTTTCACTTATATGTAATTAACAAATTTTGCCACCTATATTGATGAAAATTTGTGTTTTTGTACTAAAAAATAAAGAATAATACTATATCAATAAAATATATGCTTCAAACCAAATTAAAAATAAAAAAAAGCATTGTGTTTTTGTAATCATTATGTGTTCTCTAATGATTTTTAACTGTTATATACTTATGAGCCTCCTTGTTAATTTAATTTTCTTGTATATGTAATAACTTCATTAGAATAAAAATAATTGAATAAATAAATAATTCATTAGTGTAAATAAACTTGTAACTACTTAACTTAGAATGATTATCAGTTAATTTGATATGAAAATTTGTGCCCAAGTTTTTTGGATATTGTTTGAGTTATGGGCGAAATCATCTCCACTAGAATTATTTTAGTTGTGAATACCATTACTTCATTTTTTTATTGTGCAAGATAAAGGTTTTTAGCGGAGTTGGTGGTGGAAACGGGTTTGAGAGATTGAGTTTGGGGACGAAGGTGAAGGTTTTAATTAGCTATAGTGGTAGGAGTGGATCCCCTTCTTCATCCACCTCTTCCACCGAGATTAACCCATCTAACTCCACTTCCTTCAACCACCAAAACGGTGGTCCTGCTCCCCACTGCATCGCTGCAGGAGCAAATAACTCCGACTCGATGCACTCCTGGTGGGAGTCCATATCAAAAGCCCGCACTCGAATCCATCTCCTCTCCACTCTTCTCCCCGAAACCTCCTCAGTTCTCTCGTTCCTTGCCGACTCCGACCGCCCTGCCAGCTCCCTCCTCCTCTCTTCCGCCGCCTATTCTTCCATCTCATCTTCCCTCTCCTCCCCTTCATCCGGCTCCGACGACGACTCTCTTTGCCTGTGGCTATACGACACCTTCCTCTCCGCTGACTCCGAACTCCGCCTCGTTGTCCTCTGCTATATCCCTCTCCTCTCCTCCTTCTATCTATCCCGCATCCACTCCTCCTCCACCACATCCGCTATCTCCCCCACCACTAATCTCGCCGGCTTCGAAGCTGTCCTTCTTGTCCTCTACTCATCTGAAGTCAAGGCTCATTCGGGTATACCCGTGTTCATTTCAATCCCTGATCTCTCTCAACCTTCTCTTTATCACTCTTCTCGAAATCCCCCTTCGAATAAATCGAACCCCATTAACAATAACCCCTTGTCTCGGCCTCTAGTCGGCGTTCTATCGCCTCCTCTCGAACCCCAGATGGCGGTGAAGTCTACTAAACGAGCTTCCATTGTAGGCATTGCCCTTGATTGTTATTATAAGCAGATCTCGCAAATGCCCAGTTGGTCAAAGCTTGATTTTTGCAAATTTTCGGCAGATTGGGCAAGTCAGGATTGCCCTTGTAAATCTGATTTCGATGATTTTACTACCCAAAAACCTAATAATTTTACTGAAAGTAGCCATGGGCTTTCGGGTGACTCGAGGGGTCACAATGAGATTGAGGATGTTGTGGAAGAAATTCGGCATTTGCGAAGTGAGGGGAGGGATGACGAGTTGAGGTCACAGGGGGTGAGAATTCCGCTGCCATGGGAGTTATTACAGCCGGCATTGAGGATTTTGGGGCACTGCTTGCTAGGGCATTTGATTACAGAGGATGTGAAAGCAGCAACTTCAGTGGCAATAAGGAGCTTGTATGCTGGGCCTCCCACGACCTGAAGCCGCAGGCCATTTTGGCGACTAGCAGTCTGATTTAGCTAGATAACAGGGCACGCGAGGCTGTTGCTGCAACTGCAGCTGCCACTGCTACCTCCAATGCTAATACACCCAGTAAGGCTAAAAAGCCTGAGATCCTTTTGGTTTCTAAGTGATATCAAAAGTGAATGAGATAATTTGCTTTAATTCTTGAATGTGAGTTTGTATGTAGAATTATGTAGGTATAGGTGTAGATTATACGCGAGTAATGAGTAGCTTATTTTGAACTTGGAACTCAGCCTGAAAGTTGTGTATCATTATTACTGTGATATGAATAGGTGTTCCAATTGCTTATATTTGGACTTAAAAAAAATATAAATAAATAAATCGAATGAATATGTAAGTTTTGATGATTATGTAGTGCTCTTGGAATATGTAGTTGTAACGTAATTAGGTACAAGTATAGATTAGTATCAAAATTAAAAGAAGAAAACATATGTTTTATATGCAAACATTTTCTTTTAAGAACTACAGCTACCATTTTATTCATTGTCTTCGAGCTTATAATGCACATTATCATTTCGCAGGGACATCATTGGTTTGTTATTGTCTTGCAGCTCATTATGCTGATGCTATTGGTCCCTGCGATGGAATTCCCAATTATTGTGATGTTTGGGTAAGTATATACTCCTTTCTATCTATGTTAGACTTGTTTCAAATGGTTGGGTCTTGTCAACAAAGTTTCTGTAAAAGTGACAATTTTCACTTTGTTCTAGGAGACATTTGCATATAAACAAGCTACAAGTGGTCTCTGATTTGTGTTTGATTTTCCTGCCAATTAATGAATATGATAGGAGTAATTTTCTTTTCCTTCCTTTTGGAAGTTTTTGCATGGTTTAGTTGAGTTGTTTGTGTGAGAGTAATTGATTCAGCTTCCTTTTTTTTGCATTATTGTTTGCTGACTTATTGGCCAAGAGGGCTCTCAATTAGTTTTAGGACCAAGAATTCCTTCTATAGTTTTCTAGTGCTAGTATTAGCTTCAAGTTAGCTTCTTAATGTCTCCTGCAGTCGACTGATTTTTGTTATTATTTGCAGCAATTGAACCTGTTGGCAGAGGCTTCGGATTCGGATTTGGGTCTAGGATATTACAATCTACCAATCAAGCTACCATTTTCGCTTGTGGTACCCTTATACTCTCTATCTCCTCTTTGCTTCTTTTTTTCTGTTATTTATAGCCAATCCAATTCACTATAAATTTATACTTTCTAAATCATCCTAAAAATTGAAATGTTGCTATACAGCTACTAAATGCACTATGTATATAATGCATATGTAGGTGCACTCCTCTCTTTCAAGCTCGCACTACCAAATCCATCATGAACTGAAGTTTGCCATTGTCATCAATTTAGGCAACTTTATCAAGTTCGAACCACCAACATACCTAATTCAGCTGTTACACTGGCTTGGTGGCAAGAAATAAAAAATTAGGGCTTGAAAATTTGGGTGAAAGCTGGAGTTTAGAGCTTGAAGCTTGGGAAAAATGAGAAGTTAGGGAATGAAGGTATAGTTTGAGGTAATTTCAATATTATGTGTCTGATTTTGCAATGCATGGTATATATTTTTTGTGGGTACGGCTAGTTGCACCTTCTCTGTTTCGTCAGATTTAGTTTTTAGGTTCAATCTTGTTAGTCTCTGATTTAAGCATCAACAAGTTTTGAATCCCTTCTGTTCTGTTCTTATAGATTTGTTGGATTTTCATGAATTGATTCTTTGTTAGTGATTTTTGGCTAGAATGATGTGAATCTTGATTTGGGTTCTAGCAAAATTTGGTCAAATTCGTCAGGTCTCTTTGGAAGTGCTATTTCTTATAGCTAAGAATAATGAACGAGCTGATCCATTTTGGCTTTTCATAAAATCTGAAACCTGAGTTATTTTTAAGAGGTGAACGCTTCAGTCTTGATTTGGTTTTTTGGTAAAAGTAAGAAAGATTGTTGCTTTTCATCCTTTTGTGGAGTTGGATATAAACGGTTGTTTTAAATGAAAACTTGCAGTTTACTTTTTCTCATCCCATGTGTCTGCTACTTCCAAATGTACTTTTATGATTGCTGATCCCAAAAGTTATAATTTTCTTTCATTTTTTTTCTTTTTCGCTGGATCGGTTAAGTAATGGATAAGAAAAGGGTGATGTTCCCCTTGTTTGCCATGGTCATTCTCGTCCAGTTGTGGATTTGCAGCTAATTGTAAAAAGTTACAGTAATCTTTCCAGAAAGAACCTTTTTGGCCATCTCTTTTTATTTGTCTATTTATCAAGTCCTTTGTCTTTAGTTGCACCTACATGACTTGTTCTAATTCTCATAACTACCTTTAAGATTTTTTTAATTTAAACCTTTTGGATCATGATATCACGGTCATTTGTACCAATTCGTACTTGAAACTAGCTACTGTTTCTAGCCATGAAATATACAGCCAGTCTGTTGCTATCATGAGTGTAAGTAACGTTTGAATGACTGTGTAAGCTCCTTTTTGTAATCTCCAGACCCCAAATACTTACTCGCAATCAATTTTCTTGATGTCTGATTACTTTTTTTCACTTGTTGGGGAGGTCTCTTTCTATTACATATTGGGCAGTATATATATCGTAAGCAAGTGTGATTCACTGAGCTACGATATTGAGGTATGGCATTTTGGCCTCTCAACTTGCTATGGGTTTGTGACCAGTAAAATGAAATGATATTTTTTAGGTCAGGTATGATTATGTGACTTGCCAAGACACTTACCAAGGGCTTCCAAGATTTACTTGTGAACATTTATCTTTGTATCTTTTTTATCATGTTCCTAGTGGTATACCAAGAAACATTTATCCTGGTCATTTGACAATAATGATTTTCTCTTTGGCAACCTTCCAGATCAATATACATTTCTCATTATCTGCTGCAAATCTCTTCTCTCTTCTTGCTCCCTCATTGGTTCTTTCATCTTCCAAGGAGATGCCACGTAGAGAGTGTTAAAGGATAAGTCTCGGAAGATTTCTTCATCAGAGAAGGCCTGTACTGGTTGGGAAGATGAATACGATGTTTCATCCAAGCAGGTAAACAAATTCCGACCTTGTTACTATAAATTTGTCTTCAAAACAGCTATCATGCTGGTTATCTGTTTTTGTTTTCTTGTTTGCTTAAAGGATTTGGTGATATTGGTATAAGTGATATGACCAGTACATGAAGTAGAACGTCAGTTATTTGATGACTATCAGAAGTCCTATGATTGTTAGATGGTTGTGTGAGTAAGTAATAGATTGGAGTTGCTTCTGATTATCGAATTTGGGATGGACCATAGCTAGCACTAAGAGTACATCTGTGGATCTGTGCTAGGAACCACACTTAGCAACAATCAGTAAATTTCCAAAATTACCTATTTTTTGAGGAACTCCTTATGTATTTTCACAAGTGGATATTTATGCCGTATTGGCTAATTGAGATTACTTCATTGTGACAACCAAAGAGTTTGTGGACAGAACTCAAGTAAAATCACTTCAACTATGGAGCAATGCAAACTCACCCAATATGATCTAACCTTGTCCACTGACAAAAGTACTTGCTGTTCCAGGCCTCGAAGTCAATTACTTTGATAATCAAAAAGTTAGATGTTCTCATAATGTGATTTGAACAAGTTTTTTAATAAAGAAGATATCCAATATCACAATATAATGCTTGTGAATCATTTAAAATGGCATGTAGATGGTATGAAACTCAATTCATTGTCAGTTTCTAGTCCTTATAATCTAAACTTCTTGTTAACTTCTTGTACTTAGATAATACACAACTTTTTAACTGTTTCTTGTACTTAGATAACTTGTGTAAGGTTGTAATAGCATATTTTTTTACTAAAGTCTATTCTAATGCATATAATATTTTATTCTCAATGCAGTCCAGTTTGATATTGATCACGAGGAGATTGTTGGATATGATGATAGAGATGGTTGAAGTCTGACATTGGTGGTGCAATCTTTGCTTTAGTTTAGAAAGCTAGTACTCTATTTTTTGGGAAGGATGCATATTGGCCATTAGTGCTTGAATTGATTATGTGGGTTTTGGGACACAACATTTCTGGTTAACTTCTATTTTGATGAATTCACAAATGTTTATGGCCATATATATGAATTTGTAGCTTCATTCTACATGAATTTTGCCTTTTGTCAAATTGAATGTTCTACTATAATTTGTTGAAATTGCTATGACAATGCTATATTCATAATGGTTAATTTCAACTCTTCAAAACAAAGCTTAGTGACAACCTTCGGAGGCTGTCACTAATGAGAAATTATCTAATGACAAAAAAAAGTTGTCACAAAATAGAAAATAAAAACTCCTTGTCACAACAGAGATTGTCACTAAATCTAAGCTACATTTGTGACGACAATTGTTGTCAGTAAAATAGTTATATACAATGGCTTTCAGTGCTTTTTAGTGACGACCTTAAGTAGAGCATTTTTGACAAAAGGTCAATTCGTCAATAAAACACTTCTGGATTGTTGTCACTAATGACAACTATTTAGTGACGACATTTCAGGTCGTCACTAAATAGTTGTCATTAGTGACGACAATCTGGAAGTGTTTTATTGACGACTTGATCTTTTGTAAAAAATGCTCTACTTAAAGTCGTCACTAATGACAACTATTTAGTGACGACATTTTAGGTCGTCACTGTTTACTTTTACCGACGGGGATTTAGTGACGACTTTGTGACGATCAAAAAGTCGTCAATGAAAGGTATTTGTGACGATATTTGTATGTTTTGTGATGACTTTGTGTTGTCACTGATGAACAATTTTCTTGTAGTGTATGGATGTGATGGTGGGAGGTGTCAATCTTACACGAGGCAACATCACCATCCTTAATGTCAATAAATGACCAAAACTAGAAAATATATACCAGAAAAGGATTAACCATAAAATATAAACCATGTGATGCATTTGTCATAAAGTTAGATTCTTCAATTCATGCGCATTAACCAAGCAAGTACTTTAGTACATATAAGTGACATTAAGCTGCAAATCTTGCAATGTCTTCCCGTAGCTCTTGGCTCCCATAGGCTATAGGAAAATATAGAAGGTTGTGTACATTTTAGCAAAAACCAAATCTGAAATGTTCCAAAGTTTTGAAATGTTCTAAATTCTAGGTAGTCAGGCTGCCACATCTCATTCTTTTATGGTTAAAAGTTGTGTCAGTTAACATGTGGTATTAACCCCAATCATTGAGATGCTCATCTAGCCTCTGATTGCATATATATATATATATATATATATACTGTTCTATTGAGTTTATATATATTGTTGTAAGATGTTATAATTTCTAATTGCTTATTGTGATAAAAAAAAATTACAAAATCTGTTTTAGTTATTCGTGATATTTAGGTAACTATACACATAAATTATTGTTCGCATGTAATATTTTTTTTTATAATTTGTGTTGGTTCTTTTTAATTAGGTCTTTAATTAGAGAATTCAAGGCACAACTAAGGAAAATAGAGAAACTTTATATATATATATATATATAGAATCACACTTATTTATACATCACAATTTCCATATATTGACACCTTTTTTTTTTCCAACCAATGTGGCTACTTTTTTTTATTAAAAGCAAGAAAACCAAAGAACACAGACTTTAGTGAGAAACAGCTCGAGAACGAATAGCAGGAGTTTGCGACCTATCTAACCCTAAGGCCCCCCTTGCCAATCTTGGCAACTCAGACTGTGACGTATACAAAATAATCCCCTCAGACAGTGCCCCCACCTTGGCTAAGGCATCCGCCACTTGATTCATTTCCTGATAACAATGCCCCACCGTCCACTCCACACCCTGCATTGCCAGTAACGCATCCAGATCTGACCGCACTAACCACGGACACCTCCATCGTCTTACAAGTAGGTTGACTAACACAAGAGAGTCCACCTCCACCCGAATCCGCGAGAATCCCCGAAGACAGCATTGCTGAATCCCAAACACCAAAGCCTTTATCTCCGCTTGAAGACAAGTCAGCTCCCCAAACGGAACAGAAAATCCAAACAACAAAGCACCAGAAGAGTCCCTAAGCACACCACCCCCGCCACTAACGCCCGGGTTGCCAAGCGAACACCCATCGGTATTTAACTTGAAGACCCCCTGGGCTGGAAATTCCCAACAAACAACTCTATGGGAATATCGAGGCCTCCACCCAAATATGTTGGAGTAGACCGCCGGCCAGGAGCCAACCCCAGTAAACTCACTTGCAAACTTTCTGGAAAATAGCCCTACGACATCTGCCAAGATACGATCACAAATGGTCTGTCACCGCAGGAGCTGCCCATAAAAAATTGCCAGATTCCGTGCCAACCAAATATACCAGCAAATAATGGAAGGCAAAACCGAGTGTAATGCCTCCATACGAGAGTGCCGAACCGGTAGGCACCACCAAGCCGCCAAACGCAACTGCACCCCTAATCCTCTATACCTCACTCCAGCGCCATTTCCAAAAAAGGTCCACAAAAATTGAGCTAGCTCACCTTCCGCAAAGACGTGCTCCAACGATTCAGATTGCGAGGCCAAACAGCAAAAACACTTGGATGGACCATACACTTGCAATCTTCCTAGTGACGACGCCATCGGTTACCGATCCAGCAGGAGCCTTACCATGAAGAAAGATATCTTGATTGGGATTACAGAGTGCCAAACCCTATCAAACATGAAAGACGAGGGGGTCTGGCTACCAACCAGCGCGTACGTGGAAGCAATGGAGAAATCCCCTGACTCCGTCAAGGCCCACACCACACGATCGTCCGCGGACCCCACTGGGGCAACTTTAGTAACTATCTCTGAGACAATGTCATCAGGAACCCAAAGCCGCAGCAACTGTTGATTCCACCTTCCATTCAATACGAAATCCCTAACTAAGTGATCAGAAACACTTTGTAACCGTTGACACAGAGGGCCAGAACCCATCCAATTGTCAAACCAGAAATTACACTGTCCCGACCGCAACTCCCACCAAAGGTTTTGCTCCGCCACCTCGCGGATTTGAAGCAAGCGCCTCTACATATATGAACTGCCTTGACCCGCCCCTACCATGCATGGATGACTCTGACGACAATACTTGGATCTCATAAATGTCGCCCATAGACACTCACCCGTACGAAACCGCCACCACAATTTGAGCGAGAATGCTGTATAAACATCCAGTAACGACCGAACACCAACCCCCCTTGTGACGAGTCGGCACAGAGGTCTGCCCACTTGATCCAATGATGTCGGAGGCCACCTTCACGCTCCCCCCAGAGAAAATTTGCCATAGCCCGTTCAACCAAGGCTAGGACTCCCTTTGGAGGACATGAAGCTGCCAATAAATGAATTGGAATTGCTGACAGTACGTGTTTGATGAGTACAATCCGACCCCCATTGGATAGAAATCTGGAACTCCATGATGAAACTTTAGAAATGACTGACTGTACTAGCTCCATGAAGTATAGGCACTTCCGGCGCCCCACAAAAAGCGGACATCCCTAGTAACGCACAGGAAACGACTTAAGACCAAACCCAGTTACCCGTCGAAACCTTGCCACACATTGCCTATGCAGTTTAGCATGCACCATGAACCCACACTTCTGAACATTAATCTCCTGTCCCGAAACTGCTTCATAATTCTCAATTGTCTGCATAACACATCTCAGCGAAGAGGATGAAGCACCCGAAAAAACCAGGACGTCATCTGCGTAACTGAGATGAGTGATCTTAGGACTGCCCCGCGGAACAGAAAAGCACTTGAAACCCTGATGCTCCACTAACTTGTTTAAAGAACGGGACAACACCTCCGCGCCAATAATAAACAAACCTGGAGATAATGGGTCCCCTTGACGAAGCCCTCGCGTAGACTTAAAGAAACCCACACTGGCCCCGTTTATTAGAACCGAAAACCACACATTCGAGACCAATCTCCAAATCCTATCAATCCATTGCTCCCTAAACCCAAATCTTCTCAAGACCATTGTCAAAAAGACCCATGAAACACGATCATAAGCCTTTGCCATATCTAACTTCAGAGCAACATCGGCATTTCTAGAGGTCCTCCCCATATTAGAAAGCAACTCTTGTGCAAGCAAGAAATTATCCGATATAAGCCTCCCCCGAACAAATCCACTCTGCTGTGGGAATATGATCTTTGGAAGGACTTGGGTCAAGCGATCGGCCAAAACTCGCGAAATTAACTTGTTAACAAAGTTACACAAACTAACCGGCCGGAATTGCGAAAAATCCTGTGGGTGCCCCACCTTAGGAATGAGCGCAATGGAAGTCGCTGTAACAGCACGAGGCAACTCAGCACCGCAGAAAAAACTACAAACTGCGTTAACCACATCCGCACCAACAACTGACCATGCTACCGTAAAGAATTTACCCATTTAACCATCCGGCCCCGGTGCACTCTCCCCATCCATTGCGAACACCGCACTCCGAATCTCCATCTCAGAGGGAAACTGCTCCAGGAAATCATTCTCCTCATCAGTCAAAAGTGTTGGAATATGCTGAAGCAATTCAGAGGAAGATGGTGGACGCTGAGCCGTAAACAACCCCTCGAAATACCGAACCGCCTCTGCTCCAATCCCCTCGTCCGATTCCACCCATTCCCCTTGGCCATTTCTAATCCTGTGAATGATCGAATGTACCCTTCTATTTTTGACGACAGAATGAAAAAACCTTGTATTTCGGTCTCCCTCTTGAAACTACCTAACCCAAGCCTTCTGCTTCCAAAACAACTCCTCCACTCTCAAGGCCGCCCGCAACTGACCTTTGGCAAGATGTAGATGCACCCTAGCAGCATCTGAATCATCACTTTCTACACGGACCTCTGCCAGCCGTACTTCCTCTTCCTTATTCCTAACTGTCTGAAAGATATTCCCAAAAACTCTCCTACTCCAATCCCGTATAGTGCCCCTCAGCCGTTTTAATTTGCAACAAAGAACTTGCAAAGGGGAACCAGCGCACGGCTGCTCCCAAGAAGCCTGAACCATAGACAAGAAATCCTCATGCCTCGTCCAGACATTAAGGAACCTAAACGACCGCGGCTTAGTGTCCAGCCTGGTTAACAGTGAAAGAAGGAGCGGAGCATGGTCTGACGACTCCTGGGCTAAGTGCGACACCGCCAATGACATCCCTGTGTCAAAAAAACCCTCATTCACTAAAATCCGATCCAATCTTTTCCAAATTCTTGCCCTGCCATGTCTATTGTTACACCAGGTAAACCGAGCCCCTGAGAAACCGACATCCGTGAGATTCGCCTCATTGATAAACTGTCTAAACTCCATAGCTTCACCAAGAGTAAAAGCCCGACCCCCTTTCTTCTCCTCAGCATCTAAAATTACATTGAAATCCCCACCCACAAGCCATGCAGCGGAACCCGGGTTATCCCGCATTAAACCCTCCCATAGCTCACACCTCTCCACAGGAGTACACCGCGCATGCACAAAGGAGACAACAAGGTGGGAGCCCGGCACATGATCGTGAGAAAGGCGCACTGACACATGCTGGGGACTCTCTCCAACCACCAAGCCTGAAAAAGGCTCTTGGAAGAACACCCAGATCGAGCCCACCAAGTTATGCACCACTCCATGAAACCCTAATTTATGTCTATACCGTTCGGCTTTATCAACCTCCAACCAAGGTTCACAAAAAGCCAAAAATTGTAAATTGTGCAGTTGAATCAATTTTTTAATCCTTCTCAATTTCAGGGCTTTAGAAATGCCCCGAACATTCCAAAATAAACCCTTAATCATGGGACAAAGCAGGAAGAGAATTCTGCGAATTTATCAATTTAGAACGTAATTGCCTATCAGAAGGGAAATGTGCACGAATACCTTTTTGTTTGTTTCTCAAAGCCGCCACCGAACTGTCAAGAACTCCAATAGAGAAACTTTTATTGTTATAAGTGATTCTCAAATATCAATTCTTCTAGCCATCTATTTTGCTTGAATTTTAATATTATTCACTTCTTATTTTGTCAACAATCACATACTTTTTCAAAACTAGTGCTTTTGTCACACCTTAAGTGTGTGTTCATTTTACAAATTGTATGATTTTTTCCCTAACATATTAAGTTATTACATTTCATGGTACACATGTATGTGTTTATTTGGAAAATCTGTAAGTACTATTTCTTTATAGCAATTTATTGTATTTGAAATTATGGTGGAAAAAAAGAGAGAATGTGAATAGTTTGACTTTGGAAGAAGTTATTGTATTGAAACTATGGTGGAAAACAAAAGAGGAAATGTGAATAGTTTGATAACTAACTTTAAAGGTTACTTTTGGTATAACACAAAGTGACACAAAATATTTACACCAACCCTCTCCTCTCCTTTCATATATAGAAATTAGACGATGCAAATAACAATTTAAACATTAGTTTGTGTCGATAACTATTAAAATTATGGTGTCAATGGTGCTATCACAAAAATTTTAATGTCTTAAGAGTGCTTTGCACAACCTAAATTATGCCTAGGGATCATTTCCTTGCAAATGTATTATAGTTGCATGTCAAAAAAAAAAAAAAATTGTAACATCAGTCAATGTACAAGAATGTACCCCTTGGATCTATAACTTATCAAAGATTGAGAGACTCGGATCTATGTGAGAAATTATCCTTGGATTCTGCTTCAATAGAGTTAATTTATGACTAACTCGTCTCACTGATCTTCAATGGTTATCTATCTTTTCCTCCACTGCTTTTGTCCTCACGCAATTGAAGCAAATTTTGTTCTTCTTGCCACGATGTCTATTCTCACATGGCCACTTTTTTCATGTAAAGCAAAATTTGCTCTTCTTTCCTAATTGACATCTATCCATGCATTCTCACTTTTTTCTTGGATTTACTTATTATTTTGTAATTGAAATAACACATTTTTCTCTTGCATGTCCTACACGTGTTTTAAAATCGATTTTGATTCTACATGTGAACATGTCACAGTGCGTGTGTGAGAGAAAATAATTAATCCAAAATTCCACCAAAAAAAAAAAAATCTCCACCCCCACCAACCACCTCAAAAGAAAACAAAATAACATTTATCACAGCAAATACTTAGATAAGCATGGATAAATATCATTGAATTTGTGAAAGTTCATCCGTGCATCTATGATCATCACAGATTTGTGTGTCTAAGAATTTAAGTGATGGATTTGTTGGTAGTAGTATCATAGTACATGCACGAGATTTTTGCTCACGTGATGTTGTGTGTATTTCTAAAGGAAAATTAAAAACGTTGTGTTACTTTTTAACCTAATGAAAACCACTAGAAAGTAAATACTACGAAATTCAAACATTAAGAAAAATTTATCCATAAATATTCAAGTGAAAAGAAAGAAAGGTAGATGAAAATTGAATCTACGAAGAATATGCCTAACATGATATTTGTGTATTTTTAGAGTTCAACAATTCTACTTAGAAATCCCTCATTAGATGTTTCACCCCTAAAATGTTCTATCAATAAACAAAATTATTTAGATGTCCATGTTCGTATAGTAGTATTACTCGAATTTCTATACACAAACCATTTTTACGAGTTCTAAGCTTGTAATCAGTGTTATCAAGAACATTATTTCAATTTAATTAACTAGTAAAGAAAATAATTATTATGAAAATACAAAAAAAATATTATATCCACTTATAATAAAAGTGGTCCATTTGATACAATTTAGTTTTCGCTTTTTACTTTAAACATTATATTAAGATAGAATCATGATAGTGATTTGTTGATTTTCTGCCATATGTGCATAAAAGGAAATAAAAAACAAATAATTCATGTCAGAATGTTCTTTAACAAATTTATTGCTATTGAGGTTAAGTAAGATTTTTTTTTCAACAATTTGAATTCTATTACTTAATCTTTACGCTGAGTCCGTTTTTATGTATAACTTGAATCTTTGAAGGTAAATTCCCAAATAGGGAAACTTTTGTATACACTTTAACAAAAAAAAAAAAAAGAATTGTGACCATACATGCAAATTTACTAATCTCTAAAAGTCATCATCAAAAGCAAAATTGCAAACTAAATTAGGAAATACAAATTGGTGATAGAATAAACAAATGATGAAAACTATATATCATGGTGAAATTCAACCAAATGGAGTGGCTTGTAGGTTAGAGGAATTCTCTTTACACAAGTAGTTTTTACGAGTTGTAAGAAAATAATCTTTGATATATATTACGGTTATTATCTTCTTTAACAATTAAACCAAAAAATTGTTATGAGATCTGAAAAAAAAAAATTATTAGATGCTCGTATAAATGTAGACCATTAGATATTTTGTTTGATATTGGTGTTTTACATTTTCTGGTTGGACTCTTGATTGTCAATTACTATTTTCAAGTCATTCACTCACAAACAAATAAAAGATAAACCAAGACAAATATTATATATGCTATTGTAATAGTTATAAATCAAATAGATTTTAGGCATGGTTTTGTTTTTGGCACTGGGTACTAGAAAACCCTAATTTAAAAGGCAATACAATTCATATTCTGCAACATTAATTTTTGTAAATGAATTACAAGATTGAGAACTGTTGTATAGAATTAAAACCATGAGAGCCTTTGTTATTGCATCATCGCACTACCAAACCTGAAATGTAATTCTCATCAAGAGGAAATTGAAAACTAAATTAGGAAATTTAAATAAATAAATTAGTTAAATGGAAAATCTGAAAAAATAGTTTGTCATTATCATGCAAGAGAAATGCTACAAACATAGAGGTACATAAATTACTAAAATTCTTTTTTCACAAATAGTTTTATGAGCTTAGAGCACATAATAATTGATATTCATGATGATGATGATGATTATTATTATTATTATTATTTCTTTTCAATTAACTCATGAAACAATTATTTATTACATGAAGAATATACAATAGAATTTTAGATTCTCTTATAAAAGTAATTTGTCAGATAAAGTTCGATTTTGGTGTTTTACTTTATTTAATGATGGAATAACTATCATCAATTATTGATTTTTTTGGTCAATTATTTGTGTGCAAGAAACAAATACGACAAATCGCTCTACATGTCATTTTTAACAGTTATATACAAATAGAGCTCGAGCATGAATTTTTTTTTTATGCTTTGTATTCCATGACCTAATTTGTAAAGTAATTCAATTCGTATTTATTAACTTAGAATCTTTGCAAATGACAAATATTATATAAGCTATTTTAGCCATATATTTTTTATAGAACTCGTGCATAGATATCTAATCAACACTTTGTATTCCATAACCTAATTATATAAAATAATCGAGTTCATATTGTGTAACCTAAACCATTTTAAACGAATATAGCACATAGGGAAATTTTTGTAAATAATTAAAACCATAAGACCATACATGCCAAATACATTATAATCCTTCAAAAGCCTTAATCATAATTCTCATACAGGAAAATAGATTCCTAAATTAGGAAACGTGTATATTTTGGTACCAACGTAATCGGATTGGAAAGAGACCATATTAGGATCACTCTAATGAACATCAAATCCACTCAAAAAGAAAAAACAAAAGGGAAAAGTGGAAATTATAGTGTGTTGCTAGGGTGTAGAAGAAATGTTATGAAACGAAGAGCCGTACAGAGAATGGAACTCTTTTGGAGTTTGGTAAGGAAGAACAGTCCAAATAGTGACAACCATTTCAAAAAAAAAAAAAATGCTTACACGTGCAAATGACGGCCATTAAATTATCTTCCATTAAATCTTAACCGCTTGCTATCACAGCCTTCTCATTTCCCAAGTTGCTATCGTCTCCCTCTTCCCGTTGGTTCACTACTACAAATACTGCTACTTCTAGCCAATATTCAACTCATCCAATAAAAAATCCAACTCTTCTTCCTCCTTCTCACTCCTCAGTTCTCATCACAGTTAAGAGAGAATTTTTTTTTTGTTGTAGTTTAGATTTGAGACGGCTCCAAATGCAAATAAAAGCAGTTTCCAAAATGGCCCTGATGAAATAATTTAGCTACCGATTCATTTTTCTTTCTCTGTTTTTTAGCAAAAATTTGTTCTTTTTGGTAGTTACAATGAAAGACTATGCTCGGATTACTCTGTAAGTTTTTTGGTTTGATTTTTTAGGTTTTTCTTGTTATGAGATAATTCCTAATGAGTTCTTTTCCCTTTTTCACTTTAGGTTTTATTTTGAAGGGATTGCATGCAAAGATTCTGACCATTGAGGGCAATTCATGTATAATAATCAATCTTTTATTTCAAATTTATGTCAATGTTAATTTTTTTTATTTTCCTATTGCATGTATCACTATTTTTTTTTATTTTTTTGATTGGTAGGATTTTTCAAGGGTGTTCTCTTGACTGCTAGTTATCACTATTAGATTTGTGATTGTTTTTTCATTTCTGAGTATTTGCCTGCTATCCCCTTAATTGGGTGTTGCTGTAATTGCTTCTAGGATAGGCATTCGGTGGTCTGATTTTAGTATGAATTTCTCTTGTAGGGGCATGTTGAATTGAATTGGCTTTTACCATACATGCATGCAGGTTTTAATTTGGTTTCGGATTTAATATTGAATCCTTATCCTTGTTTTGATTTAAATTTTGTTTAAATATTGGGAGTTCAACCCTTTTCCAGATTGAGTTTGAAGGGATGGATTTCTCACTTTTGTGAGTTTATGGTGATTGGTCTATATTAGTAATGTAGAAGATTCTTTTTGTTGTTTTCCAAATTTTGATTAGTTTTATGGAATTTAAATGAAAATATTTTCCCCTAGAAGTACAAAATCATTTTCCAATTTAGGAATTTATTCTTATTCATCAGTGGCTCTTTTCAATGTATAAGATCCTTTCTGTTGATTTTGACATTTGGAATTTATTTCATGGAATTTAAATCTTTCTTTCCTTTCTTTTTTGGAAATACAAAAACATTTTCCAATTCAAGGAATATATTCTTATTCATAACTAGATCTTTTCAGCTGGCATTCACTGTTGTCCACAGTTGATTCTAGAGTTTGTTGTTTCATCTACTCAACTTTAAATAACCATGTTTCTACCCATTCAATTCCAATTTTTTTTTTGTTTTGATGATTTGGAAAAGTGTTTGGTATTGACGATGGCAAAGAGATCTAGATTGGCACTTGAAGCTAAACATGCTAGTATTGTCAGCACTTGTTTGTGCTTGTATCAAGATGTGTGTTCATGCCCTTGTTGTTTAGTATACACTCAACTGTTTCCTTGCAAATGTAGAACTGCGCCAACAATCAATGTCTTCAAAATTGAGTTTTGGGTTTTAACTGACTGTTTGGGAAACTTTTTCCTCGAATCATGCATTTCATGATGTGTTGCACGATTTTCTCACCGAGGCTCTCGTTCGCCTTTTAAATGTAATACCTAACCAATTACATCCACTTTGTTACTCCCTATTTTAGATGTCTTATGGTTATGGAATTTGCTCTTCTTAGCATATCAAAGAGAGATATAGATTGTAATTATCCCAATCTTCAAGAAAGATCATATATTTAAGGCTAAACTGTTTAGGTATTTTTTTGCTTCTTTATTTTCCAGATTGTAGCATTAACTAATATCGCTTGGACTGATGTCTTCAGGGTTAACTTTGTTGGACAAGTTTAGTTCTCAGATTTCTCACTCTTTCAGCCATCATATTGGAAGGGCCATCATTTCTTGTCTCTCGGGACTTGCAAGCGCCTGTGAAGAAGAGAGCAAGTGGGTTTTTAATACTTATTCTTCTATCGAGAACTCAAAGCGAAAGGGTCCAAGGGCGAGAACTCAAAGCTAAAGCATCCTGAGGAAGAGACTTAAGTGATGAAATCATCCAAGCGACTGGCATTCCAAGGGCAAGGCTCAAAGCAAAAGTGCCCCAAGGGAGGGAACTCAAAGCGAAAGCACCTCGAGGAAGAGACTGGAGTGATGAAACCATCCAAGCCACTGGCATTCCAAGGGCAAGCTATGGATCAAGAAGATGACCAAGGCCACTATGGGTATTATACTGATACAAGTTCACTCATCCTCAAACTTGGCCAAGATCTCTCAATTAATTGCTTACTTCGCTGCTCGAGGGCAGATTATGGCACTATCGCTTCACTCAATCAGAGTTTCAGGTCTCTAATCCAAAGTGGGGATCTTTATAAGTTGAGGAGGCAGCTGGGTATTGTAGAACATTGGGTCTATGTTTCTTATAGCCTTCTTGAATGGGAAGCTTTTGATCCTTTGCGCCATAGATGGATGTCTTTGCCTAAAATGATTTCAAACGAGTGTTTCCTTTTTTCTGACAAGGAGTCACTGGCTGTTGGCACTGAACTTCTTGTCTTTGGAAAGGAAATAGAGTCTCAAGTGATCTACAAATATACCATATTAACCAATACATGGTCGTCTGGCGTAAGGACAAACATCCCAAGATGGTTATTTGGCTCTGCTAGTCTTGGAGAGATTGCGATCGTGGCTGGTGGTTGCGACTCAAAAGGCAATTTACTAAGCTCTGCTGAACTTTATAACTCAATGACAGAAAGTTGGTTGACTCTTCCCAGAATGCATAAACCTAGAAAACTATGTTCTGGGGTATTCATAGATGGCAAGTTTTATGTCATCGGTGGTGTCGGAATAGGCAACCCAAGTGCAAGCGTTGGAGCCAGCTTAAAGGTGCTTACCTGTGGAGAGGTATATGATTTGAGGACAGGAACCTGGTTTGAAATTCCTGATATGTACCCTCAATGTGCTAGAGTGGGTACTAATGATTCTCCTGCAACAGCAAGAGCACCTCCTCTACTCGCAGTGGTGAAGAATGAGTTATATGCAGCTTATTGCGATGAAAAGGAAGTCTGGAAGTATGACAAGCAGAGAAATGTGTGGATTACCATAGGTAGATTGCCTGAACAAGCAACCTCCATGAATGGCTGGGGGGTTGGCATTCAGGGCCTGTGGTAATCAATTGATGGTTATCGGTGGACCAAGGGCATTGAATGGAGGGTACATAGAGATCAATGCTTGGGAGCCAGATGAAGGTCCCCTAGAGTGGACATTGCTGGGAACAAAGCATTCAGGTAGTTTTGTTTATAATTGCGCTGTGATGGGTTGCTGAGGTGTCCTGATTTGGCAACAACTCATAGTTTACATGTTTACTTTCATCTATTTTGTTAATTTGATATTCAGAAAAAATTTTTGGCTAGTCAAGAGCTTGAAAGAAATTCAAGCGGCATAGACAAATAATGTAGAGCACCAGGTGCATCTTTTAGCCGTGAAATATTGTAAAACTTCAATAAATAGAATGGAATATGCTATGTAAACAGACAATTCTGATTTCCTTTAATATCTTAATTTGATGTAGAAAAGTTGTAATTGCCTGGTTACTTTTGTTCGATGTATTTTCTTGCTTGTACATTGTCATCCTTCAAATATGGTAAAACTGGTGATAAACATATGCTTTCTCTTTCTGATTAAAGGACCAACAAGTTTCACAGTTCCACTGATTGGCAATTGCCAAGTTCACATTTTGTGGTTTAATCAGCTGGTATATATGTGCAATCAGAGGCCAGATGAACATCTCAATGATTGGGGCTAATACCATGTGTTAATTATATATATATATATATATATATATATATATAAACTGTTCTATTGAGTTTATATATATTATTGTAAGATGTTATAATTTCTAATTGCTTATTGTGATAAAAATTACAAAGTCCACTTTAGTTAATCATGATATTTAGGTTACTATACACAAATTATTGTGTGCGTGTAAACGTTTTCTTTTAATTTGTGTAGGAAAATAAAAAATCTTTTATTGTTATAGATGATTCTCAAATATCAATTCTCCTAACCGTGTATTTCTTGTATGCTTGAATATTTAAATTATTCACTTCTTATTTTGTCAGCAATCACATACTTTTTAAAAACTAGTGCTTTTGGCACACCTTAAGTATGTGTTTATTTTTTAAAAATATATGATTATTCTTTCCTTCATATTAAGTTATTACATTTCATGGTACAGGTGTATTTGTTTATTTGTAAAATCTGTAATTACAATTTTTTAGAGCAATTTATTGTATTTGAGATTATGGTGGAGAAAAAGAGAGAATTTGAATAGTTTAACATTGGAAGAAGTTATTGTATTGAAAGTATGGTGGAAAAAAAGAGGAAATGTGAATAGTTTGAAAACTAACTTTAAAGGGTGCTTTTGGTATAACATAAAGTAACACAAAATGTTAACACGAACCCTTTCCTTTCCTTTTATATATAATATAGATATAGATATTAGACGATGCAAATAACAATTTAAACATTAGTATGTGTCGATAACTACTAAAATTATGGTGTCAACGGCGCTATCCCAAAAATTTTTTTTTTTTGAAAAACTTATCTTTATTGAATCATAAGAAAGTCACACATAGTAAGAAGCAACATAGAGGCACGGCTATTGAGCCCTCTTACGGAAGTTAGGGAACCCTAATCTATCCAGTCAGATATCCCCGCGGACCAGCAGGGGAAGCGCTGCAAAGGAATCAAATGCAGAGGCGGTGCCTAGCGCTGCACCCATCTTAGTCAGCCTGTCCGACGGTTTGTTCGCCTCTTTATAACAATGTTTAACGGAGCGAAACAGACCCCGATGTTGCATGAGATCGTCCAATTCCACCTGCAAATGCCAGGGGCACCCATGGTCCCCAAATATAATGCGAACCAGGGATAGTGAGTCCACCTCTAGATGCAACTCCAAATATCCCCGAGCAATGCATTGATTAACCCCATAAACCAAAGCCTTCAATTCGGCATGGAGGCTCTTAGTGGCGCCAAAGAAACATGAGAATCCAAGCAGAAAACCCCCTTGAGAATCCGGCACCACGCCTCTTCCTCCACTCCGCCCTGGATTCCCAAGCGAATAGCCGTCAGTATTCAACTTATAGCCCGCTCCCGGGGACGCCCATCTGACAGGCCGAACAGTCAACATCCTCTGCCGAGCTTGCAAGGTCGAATACAAGCTCTCCCAAGATCCGTGTGGCCATGCTTGCGATGGGAATTGGATCTGCAATAATTCCCTAAGACGATATAAGGTTTAGGCCACCACCACCCCTTACTATCCTCCCCCCGTGCACCACCGCCCTAGTTCTCGCCCGCCAAAGTTCGCAATAGATGATAGAAGGAATGATCTGATACACAAAAGCCAAGTACCTCTGCGGCATTGGGCGTAACCACCACGAGATTGCCATATGCCAGGCCGTGTAGCAATGCGACGTCATCCCCTCCTGAACCGCAAATGCCCCCCACACCTGTCAGACAGTTTCACCAGTGCAAAAGAGGTGGTCCAAACTCTCCTCCTCGGGATCAGAGCAACAACAACACCGAGAAGAACCATGGACACCGAAGTGACGCAGCTACTCCAGGAGAGGCAGTCTACTCCATAGCAAGCGGAGCATGAAAAATGAAATTGTGACTGGCAGTGATCTGTGCCAGATACTAGCAAAGCCAAGAGATCCTTAAGAGCGGGTTCGGATAAGCGCCAAAGCCAAGGCCACCGAGAACTCCCCATTGGACGTCTACATCCATACCATCCTGTCCTCCTCCTGGCTTGACGGAGGCTTGCAAGCCAACACAAGTTGCACCAATTCCGGTGACAGTACCTGCGAAAGAGCTCGGATGTCCCATTCCCCTCCAGAAGCAAAATCCACCACCTGCTGATCCTGAAAAATCTCCACCTGGTGGCATAGCAGACCAGACCCTGCCCAGTTATCGTGCCAGAAATCCATCAACCCCTCCTGCACAATCCAGCCTGTGTTTTCCTTCATGACCCCTTGGACCTCAACAATCGTCTCCATGTATAGGAACTGCCAAGTCTCTCCTCCACAAGGCAAGGGTGCTGGCCCTTATAATACTTGGATGCCATAAAAGTAGAGGTGGCAATCGGAAAGGGTTCGGGTTGGCGGGTCGAGTTGAGACCTAAGTATAACAAAGAATCTGCTGACCTGAACCCAACCCGCCAATCCGAAATGGGTCAGGGTACCTGACATGAACCCGAAAATTTCGGGTTGGCGGGTCGACCCGAAATTTAATTTTAATTTATTAATTTATCACTGTAATTTCTAATAAAATCAAATTTTCACAAAATTAATTACATCATCAAGTAATAAAAATTTAAATAAATAATTTCAAACCAAATCCAAAATAAATTAAACACCATAAAAGTGTTTTATCCCAAACCAAATATAAAATAAATTAAAACAGCATAAAAGTAATAAATAACATAATATATTATTTGTCCAAATATAATAATTTTAACTTCACACAAGTTTAATAAATTCATTTAGGATTAAGTAATTAATGCCTTTGGAAAAAAAGAATGATTTAGTTTAGTTAGATAAAATAATTTTCATGTTTATTAAATTAGTTTTAATTTATAAACGGGTCATATCGGGTCATATCAGGTCATTACGGATTGACCCGAAATTGACTTGTTTTCTTTTCGGGTTCATCGGGTTTGACCCGATTCTGACCCGAACTCTCGAAACCTCAACCTAAATCCATTAATTTCGTGTTAGATTTGTGTCGTGTTAGGAATTGCCACCCCTACATAAAAGAAGCCCAAAGCGAGCGACCTTGTCTTAACTTTCACCACAGCTTCATGGAAAAGGCCTGAAAAACCTCCGTCACTCGCCGGAGACCTAGATCCCCTTCGCTGTGGGGTCGACATAGGGTCGCCCATTTCATCCAATGGAAGTGTGGGCCAACCTCTGTTGAGCTCTACAGGAAGATAGCCAGGACCCGTTCTAGCTCCCGCAACATCCCTTTGGGAGGCGCTGTTACCGCCAGTAAGTGAATGGGCATCGAGGACAAAACGTGCTTTAGCAGCACAATCCGTCCCCCAGGCGATAAAATACGATGCTTCCAAGATAAAATCCTATTGACAACACCCTTACACATCTCCACGAAGTGCTCCTTCTTCTGTCTGCCAATGAACAGGGGACAACCTAGGTACCTGATCGGGAACTCCCTCTTCTAAAAGCCTGTAATCTACCTGATAATCTTGCTGCGTCGGGGGCCGAGTCGAGGGTGCACTAAAAAGTAGCTCTTCTGCTCATTGATCTTCTGTCCCGAGACTGCAAAATACTCCTCCAGGACCCGTATTAACAGTTGCAAAGTGGGCTTCAAGCCACTCGAGAAAATGACCACATCGTCCGCAAAAGATAAATGGGTGACAATCGGGCATCCGGGCGAAACCTTGAACGGATGAAACTGGCGTTGCCTAACTAAGGCATTCAGAGCCCTCGACAGAGCTTCGGTCCCAATCACAAATAAGGCCGGAGAGATTGGATCCCCTTGCCGCAAACCACGTGACGACCGATAAAAACCCTGCGGAGTGCCATTGACCAAGACAGAGAACCAAACATTCGAGATCAGTTTCCAGATTGAATCAATCCAGGCCTCCAAGAAACCGAATCGCCTCAAAACCTGCAACAGAAAACATCAAAACACCCTATCGTAGGCTTTCATCATGTCTAGTTTGAGTACCACGTTACCGCCGTAGGCAGACTTCCTAATGCCCGTCACAATCTCTTGTACTAGGAGGAAGTTATCAGAGATCTGACGCCCTTTAACAAAATCGCTTTGCTTAGGAGAAATGACTCGAGGTAGTAGCGGAGCTAGACGATCCGTTAGGATGCGGGAAATCACCTTGTTGATGAAATTGCATAGGCTGATCGGGCGATATTGTGTGAAGTCCTGCGGACAAGGAACTTTAGGAATCAAGACAATGGATGTGGCAGTAATACTTCGGGGCAACTCTGTACCACAGAAGAAACTCAAGACAGCCCTGTAGACATCCTCTGCAATCACCTCCCAAGCGAAGGTGAAGAACTTTCCTGTATACCTATCTGGGCCCGCTGCACTTTTCCCATCCATTGAGAAGACCATCTCTTTCACCTCTGCCATAGAAGGGGGTTCCATTAGGCGGGAGTTGTCCTGTTCCGTCACAAGTTTTGGAATAGTGTTCAGGAGCCCGTAAGCATAGGAGGGCGACTCCACCGTAAAGAGCCTCTGGAAGAAGGAAATTTCCTCCCTACTAATGAGGTCCTTCGATTCCACCCAGGCACCATTCGAGTCACGGATCCTATGAATGACCGCCCTACTTCTCCTCTCGGCCACCACAGTATGAAAATATTTTGAGTTGTAGTCCCCATCCTTCAACCACTTGGCCCTTGCCTTCTGTCTCCAAAAGGCTTCCTCAATAGCCAATGTATTCCTCAACCGCTCACGGGCTTCATTCAAGCCTCTCGTCGCCTGGTCGGACAAGTCCTTCTCCTGAACCCTCTCTATCTCCGCCATCGCACTTTC